AAACGAACTCCAGATGGATCAAAGACTTAAATGTGAAACCTAAAACTATAAAGTTCCTCAAGGAAAAACTAGGGGCAAATTTAGGGGCCCTAGTATATGGCATAAATAGACTATCATGCATAACCCAAAATGCTCAAATAGCAGAAGAGAAACTAGATGAATGGGACCTTGTAAAAATTAAATTTTTATGTGTTTCCAAAGACTTCTCCAAAAGAGTCAAAAGAGAACCTACAGATTAGGAAAAAATATTTGGCAATGACATATCTGACAAGGGGCTTATCTCTAGAATTTATAGAAAACTCCAACACATGAATAACAAAAAGACAAATAATCCAATTAAAAAATGGGCAGAAGACGTGAACAGACACTTCACCAAGGAGGATATTTAGGCAGCCAACAAACATATGAAGAAATGCTTATGATCATCAGGCCATTAGAGAGATGCAAATCAAAATGAAATACCATCTTGCCCCAGCACTAGTAGCAAAGTTCAACAAGACAGAAAATAACAAATGCTGGCAAGGATGCGGAGAGATTGGGACTCTTGTACACTGCTGGTGGGACTGTAAAATGGTACAACCACTGTGGAAAGCAGTATGGCAATTCCTTAAAAAGTTGGAATTAGAAATACCATGTGACCCAGCCATTCCATTTCTAGGTATATATCCTAAAGAAGTGAGAGCCAGGAGAAGAAAAGACATATGCACACCCATATTCATCACAGAACTATTTACAATAGCCAAAACATGGAAACAACCTAGATGTCCAAAAACTAAGGAATGGATAGCCAAACTATGGTCCTGTACACAATGGAATACTATGCAACCCTAAAGAATAACATAGAATCTGCAAAATACACATAACATGGATGAACTTGGAGGACAAATATTGTATTAGCCTGTTATAGTAGAAGTCAAGGAAACATTTATCTATGGAAGGAAATTTTCTTTGTTGGTTACCAGGGGTGGGAGGGAACACTGTTAGAGAGGTAGAGATAAGTACTGATTTGGGTGAAGGGCAATGTACCAAATGTGAGTGATCAACATGGTGGTACTGAGGAAGAGGAAGACACAGACAGGTACATGGGAGGTACAGACAACAAAGATGAACACTTTTCCACATACAATACTGTGTTGTCAGTGCAGGCAAACACGGGTATATGGGTGGATAGATGGGTGGACAGGCTGAACTATTAGGTATGTCTATGAAGCGGGAGTGTACCCAAGACCATGTATAGGGTTGGCAGACA